CAGAGCAAATCAAAAGTGAGTATCACTCCTTTGCCAATAGTCTGTCATTTCCCCAATGCTTTTTAAAATGTATTTGGCAAAAAAAAAAAAAAGTATTTGGCCTTCACTTTAAGTTCAGAACTAGTGATATTAGAACCTGACCCTTGGTTGCAGAAGAAATCTGTTGCCAATTGGTGGTATACTTCTCTAAAATAATTTTTTTGTTATTGTTTTATGTATAAGACTGTGTCAATTCTTTCATTCCTAGCATCAAAAGATGTATCTTAACCATCTTTTGCAAATTGAGTAATTGATTCTTAGACATGGCCAATTCAAGTCTACTAGCCGTATCTACTTTCAAGGGGAATATTTATTTTTCTAGATTACTACTAATTTTGGAGTTAAATTTTAAGAACAAGTGAGGTATAATTTCCTTGATTCTCTGAGTTTACTGAAAGATGTTGACCAATGAAAAAAATGGATTTTATTTTATGGATTCCTGAATATTCACTTAACTCAAAAGAACAGTAACTAATTCAACATTTGTTTATCTAATTTCACCTGACAGCATTCTGGAAGCTCGTCTACTGATGATATTTTTAAAAAAATTTTCATACTTGAAATTTTTAATTTTATGTTTAAATAGTTGGCATTGTTTATTTTGGTGGGTGGAAGTATTGGATAACACACACACACACAAACAAACTCACTAGGGAGGGGGGAAAAATGAGCTGATACCAAGGCTCAAGTAGAAAGAAAATGTTTTGAGAATGATGATGGCAGTAAATGTGCTTGACACAGTGGATGTACATATGGATTATGATAAGAGTTGTACAAGCCCCCCAAAAATGATTAAAAAAAACACAACTCACTGCATCCAATCAATGCCAACTCAGCCTGATACCAAAAAAACTTTCCTTTTTTGGTTTTTAGGCCTGTTCCTGGGTTAATGGGGCACTGATTTAGAAAATTGCATTGGATGGACTACATCAGCTGTAGTCTCTTATATATGGTGTTCTATATTTTCAGCTATTAAGTTATACTAATCTATTAATTTATCATCCTAGTTTTAAATTGGGAGAAAGGGCTTCCTACTGCAGTAAACATTCTCGGAAACACAGGACTAGTTCAACCTGCCCTATAGAGTTACTATCAGTTAGCATTGACTATAACAATAAGAGTGTTGTAAATCTGAGGAGAATTACAGAATAATACCCACACATTACAGAATAAGACCAAAAGGTCACAGGTATTTGAAAAAGAATTAGGTATTAAGGGACTTCTATGGAAAGCTGTATGGAATCCGTGGTGGCCAGTTGATTATGCATTGAGCTGCCAATCATAAGGTCAGTGGTTCGAACTCACCAGTCACTGCACTCTTTAAAGGATTTAAAGGTTTGGAAACCCAAAGGGGAAGTTCTTTATCTTATAGGGTCACTGAATTAGAATCAATTAGATAGCAGCAGGTTTTTCTTTTTGGTGTGGGAGGCTGTGCAATACATACAGAGACTACAAGTTGGATATTGTAGAGCCAGAGCACAGCTTGAGAAGAGGGAAATAAGAAAGTTGAAAAGGCACATGCATGGAAGGTATGAGGGCAACTTACAGTGTTGAAAATAAGACTTCACAGCAATTTTCATAAATATTTTGGAGATCTTAGTTTTTCTTCAAATTATAATCAACATTTCAGGACACATTTTAATATTTAGACATCAGTGCATAGTTTATATTAAATATTTAAGAGGTAAGGTTGACATCCAGCTTCTTTATAAGAAAAATTTTACCTTTCAAGAGTTTCTGTGTACAAGTAGGGAAGTTGTGCCATCTTATAACAAGACGAACATTTTAATTTTAATAAAGGAGTTTGAACGCTTGACATTTTGTACCAAACTCACTATCAGCCAGTCCATTACATACACCTCATAGTGACCCAATAGGACAGAGTGAAACTTCTCTTGTGGGTTCTGAGGCTGTAATTATGGGAACAGAAAACACTCTCTTGCAAAGTGGCTGGTGGACTTGAATAGCTGACCTGTGGTTAGCTGTCAAACACATACTCCACTATGCCATCAGGGTTCGTTGTTTATTGTACAGCACCTTATTTCTGGAGCCCTTTTAAGATAACGTGGAACTGCCTGCTATTCTGTTCCTAATAAAGGTGAAGTGATACTTGGGGGGAAATTCCAAGTTCATGTAATTTGCTCAGATTTGTTCAAATATATCTTTGGATCTCAAAGGACACCATGTGAAGTATGATGACCTAAATATTTAATACAACACTAAATAAAGCCAGCATGTACTTCCTCTATCTCAGGCTTCCTTAACACTTCATTAAAAGATGCTGGGTTTTTTTGGGCCAACAGAGTGAAGAGTGGTATATAGCATGTGTTCTGTATCTCAAAAACTAGAGCTGATAGGGGAAAACTGGTGCCATTTTTGGAATCAGCATGTCAAATATATCCAGAAACAAGTCTAACATTTGAGACATCAAATGTTCACTTTGTCCAGCTTGGTGAAGCCCATATCCTTTGCTTACTGAGGGAAACACTGACAGCACATAGTGTGGGCGTGTTTCCACAGCTGACCTTGCTGATTTGAGCAAACATGGCAAGAACAGGAGAGTACCTGGAACCTTGGCTGAATTTCCACAGGTGGCTCCCATAGAGCTGTTGGGACCCTTCTTGCCTTCAGGGACTCTAAGGCAAAAGGCATGCCCGTTGTTTTTGATGCTGCTTTGGAGCACTTTGTTTGCTCTTGTTTGTCTCCTTGCTTTGCACGGCGTTTTATCAGTACATCCGTGCCTCTGAATAGGCTACACGGTCACCAGCCATGTCTGTGCTGAACATTTACACGTGCTTTTATTTTCAGTCATTTTAGACTGAAAAAAACTCTTGACATGGATTTGCTCTGGTTAATCCCATACTAGGATTCAAATGATAAGAAATAAGATTTTTTAAAAAGAAAGAAGATTAACATTGGGGCATATTTTATAGTCACTATTTTACCTTGTAGTAAAAAAACAAACCTGAGACTATGATGAGAAAAAGAACAGAAGGCATAAAGACATATAGAAATGAATTGAAGACAGTATTAACATGCGTCTATGAGTCCCTAGAACAACTTGACTTTCCATTGCCAGGGTTTTCCAGTGTCTTCCAAGCCCCACTGTACAAGCATTGTTGTACATGGATCCAGAACCCTGTGAAGAAAACTCCCGCTTCATAGTGAAGATTTTTTCACTGAAGTAATGGTATATTGCAATTGAAACATTAAGTTTCTTCCTGCCAGTCACAGATGATTGTTAGCATTTTGATATGTGAGGTAAATATATTTAAACATGAGTGCAAACATTTTTTATGGTACATTGAAATTTAGGTTGAATACAAGACTGGAATCATCAAAAATTATACACTTTTCTATTTCTTGAATTCCAGTAGCACAATAATGTGGCTAACATAGTTTTAAAATGTTTAAACAGCAAATTTCTATTTGCATGATACTTAGCTGAGAAGTAGATGCAGTTTAACCAACCCTTTCAGATTTCTGACTACAAGTGTCCTCAGTCATCAAGTGGTTGTTGTGAGGGAGTGCCACTAAGTGCACTCTGTCCTGTGAAGCATCTTGGGTCGCAGCAGCCATCACCTGGAGCTGCGACTGTGCAGCCTCACAAGCTGAAGCAACAAGCTGTGCCTTTACCAGCCACACGTCAAGGAACCATTCAACATAGATGGGTGCCAGATGCAAATCAAACTTGAATGGACTGGCTTCACCTTAAAAATGATCATTGAACCCAAAAGAGAGGAGCAAAATAACAATTTTCAATTTGGGTTTTGGTTCTGAAAAATCTTTTTTTTTTCATGTTTCAGTTACACTCTAGTGAAAATTTTCTTTTTCTTCAGTTTCAGTTCTCTACCTTTTCCAAGTACTGGTTTTTCAATTCATGTGATTGTTGATGCTTAACAACTTTGCAAGTGCATAAAACCCACAAAATAATGATTGTATTTGCTGGGTGCTTAGGACCCTGTAGACTGGCTGGCTGCTTCTTTCCTGGATCACGCTACACAATGTGTACATCAAAGCTTCTGATGCTCCCCGTCTTCAACAGCGTTTTGGAATAGTGGTACCAAGCCAGTAGGCCTACAAGAGGAAGAGGTGGAGAATCAAAGGATCTCAGAGTTAGCATAAAAGATGGTTGGGGCTCTGGTTTTCACGTTTAGTGTAGCTAGCGTTCATAGAGGGAAGCCCGTCAATCAAACCTAAGGGCCTTCTGATATGGCTGAAGGACTGCTTCAATCTTTCGTGGACCAACAGCTTTTTATTTCTGGATGGAAACAAAACAACAAAAATTAAACAGAGAAGTTTGTCCTTAGAAGAGGGAGGAAGGGTACTTTTCACTTTTTTTTCCTTCTATCTTGTTTCAGTAGTCTGACCATGGAATGTGCATGTGCGCTCTGTGTGTGTGTCTGTTTTACATCATTACAACCAAGATCTGCTGGTTTTCCCCTATACTCACCTATTCCCATAAGCATTGACTCACCATCCTTTTTTCCTTTCCCCTTCTGTTGCCCTACCTCTGGTGCTGCGTGTGCATATTCATCAGTATTGTGTAAACACTTGACATATAGATAAATCAAGATACCTGTCTTCACAAAGTGTACTTTGATTCAGGTACATAAAAGCCATCGTAAACTTTGTTGCATACAAAAAGGACAGAAGACACCTCCTATCTAAATGTAATAAAGCTTTACATGCTTTCTTGTTCCATCACAGTCTTTGTAGAAAATAAGGGAAATGGGCATGTTTAAGAAGTGAGTGAGCATGGTAAAATAGAAGGCAGTTATATAGTGAGAGAACAAAAGAACAGGTAGGAGAAAGATAGCAAAGAAAAACTAGATTGAGCTATTATTTGCATTCTTGGTCTTTCTGATACTCTGTCTCTGTTAAGGTTCTTTACTCAGCCTTTCTCTATAAAATTATTATAATCACATTGTTATTGACTCACCAACCTGTCTTCTTTTCAGGAGCAATTCCAGTTGTCTCCAGAGTTACGAAAGGAAGGACTACAGCAAACCCTTCTGCCTTGGGGAGACCTGTATAGAAGGCACAGAGACCACAGAAATGATGAGCGTTGTTGTGGCCAGTAGGCAGTCATCTCCAGGTTTTTACTTCCAGAAGGTGGATATAGCTGCTGGGCCAGTGATTGGTTGTGGAGAAGGTCCTGCAATTTCAATTTCCAGGAAATGCGAGCTGGGTGAGTGAGTGGTGTGTATGTGTCTGTATCTGCGCCAGTAGAGGTGGAACAAAGTGGGGGTGGGCAAAGACGGTGCCCCTCTCCACCTCATTTAGTATTAAACTATCACCTAAGCATCCATCTCTTTTACCATGATAAACAAAAAACCCTCACTGCCATCAAGTCAATGCCAACTCACAGTGATCTTATAGGACAGGCCCCTGTGGGAGGAGAAAACTCCATCTTTCCCCCAGAGAGTGACTGATGGTTTTGAACTGCTGGACTTGGAGTTAGCAACCCAACCTGTAACCACTATGTAACCAGAGCTTCTTTGTGCCTTTTTACCATGACACTTAGGTTACCATTCCTTCTGAGCCTTGTGCTCAGATGTCCCTAGCAAGTAAAATAGGTCCTATCTTTGTTCCTGTCTCCATAGGAATAGGAATCAAGGTAAGTAAGAATTGGGCGTCCCCTTAAAGGAATGAGATATGAATAGTTAAAGGAGGTTGCAAGGAAGGAACTACAGTTATAAAGAGGTGTCTGAAAAAATTCTGGGCTATCAGATCCCATTCAGATTTATGGTTTCTCCTACACACATTGAGATATCAAGTACACAGGAAGCAGCAAACATCTTTTCAAAATACGGAGGAAATCCCTTATTCTTGCCCATGTAATATGCCAGTAGATGCTTCCTGTCTTCCCTTTTCTCTGATGGAGTCTAGGCTTGAGAACAAGAATAAAAAATTAATTAGCTGACTTTTAAGTACTTCAAATGCTTCATTGACTCACTCACTCAGTCACTCACTCACTGCTGAGTCAATGCCAAGACTCATTTAACTCTGAGCTATCACAGTTCAGGATTTACCTAGTGTCATGGAATGAATTGTCTTCCCAAAATATTTGTCTGTTTGACTGAGCTATGATCCTCAGTAGTTTGTAATATTTGTAATATTATGATGTAACTTGATAAATTGTGTCAAATGAAGTCATCTGATGACATCAGTCAATCAGTCATTAAAGGATTAGAGTGGAAGTTTCAGCACTTTGTAAGAGAGAAAAGGCGAGAGATGTGAGCAGAGAAGGAAGGACCATCAAGAAGAGCTGAGTACCTTTGTACTCAAGGTTCTTTGCACTGAGCACTTCCCAAACTCAGGGGAAGATCAACACCACGCTATCTGGAGATCGCCAAGGAAGGCTGGCCCCACAGATGTTTAAGAGATAAGAACCTTCCCCCAGAGCCATCAGAGAGAGAGGCCTTCCTTTAGAACTGGCACCCTGAGTTCAGATTTGTAGCCTCCGAAATTATATGAAGAGGAGCCCTGGTGGTGTAATGATTATGACTTGGACTGCTAACCACAAGGTCGGCAGTTCAAAACCACCAGCCATTCCAAGGGAGAAAGGCTTTCTACTCCCATGAAGAGTTATAGTCCACACAGGGCAGTTCTACCCTGTCCTATAGGGTCACTGTAAATCAGTATTGACTCAATGGTGAGAGAAAAAAACTGCACGAGAATAAAATTCTGTTGGTTTAAAATATTGTGGTATACCTGTTTTTAGCAGCACTATGTAACTAAGGCACAATTCAGTACCAGGAATGGGATACTGCTCTAACAGATACCTAACATGTAGAAGCAGTTTTAGAATTGGGTAATTATAGGAGAGGCTGGAAGAGTTTTAAGGTTCTTGATAATAAAAATTCTTAATAAAAGCCTAGATGACCTTGAAATGACTTCTGGAAGTCAGAGGAAGTTGGGGAAGTCAGAGGACCTTGATGTCCTTTGGACATCATAGTTGGTGGAACGATGGATGTCAAAGGCAATTCTAGAGAAGGCTCAGAATGAAGAAGAGCTGTGACATTGGAGGTGCAACAGAAGATCAGAAGCAGTGGCAGAGAACCTGTGAGATGACGAAAGAATCAGAAACCCAAGTACCTTCAGACAGTCGGCTTTCAGGCACAGTGGGGTGCCTTCTGGCACTTAACAGAAGAGCTAATGAGCAGTGGCCAGAGCAGGACAGAGGCTGAACCAACCCAAGAGCTCTGAAGGACAAAAGCCAGGGAAGCAGAAACTGAAGAAACAAAGAGCACAGGAAGCAAAGCTTTCTCAATTTCAGAAGGGTAGAACCGTAGACTTTGGAGTTCCAGAGTGGGCTACAGGTTCATAAGTCTCAGAGAATCAGGTATTCACGAACTCCGCTCTAGAATGCAGGGCTGCCTTTCACAAGTGCCATGGGGGCGGGACCAGATCTTTGCCTGAAATGGAGGGGACAGGTGGCCTTGCTCAAGGGGAAGAAGAATGAGGTAGGGTTGGTCACCCCTCAGTTGGACTAGGAGATTGAAACGCACAAGCTAAGGGAGCAAAATTGACATGGAAGGTGGAGCTGAAAGCCTAGGGCTGAAGTGCCTCTACACAGAATCCATAGAGCATAGCCAACACTCAAAATTTGGAGGGTAGGCCCTTTGCCCAGATGGTGCCAGAAAACAGGATTACTTTGGAGACTTGAGATATATATAATGTGTATTGTTCTGCTAGACTTTTTACGTGATTGGTACCCATTGTTCGTTCATTCCCTCTAATATTTCCCATTCTTAATAGATGTCTGTCTACCTTATGTCTGTTCCATAATTGTACTTCTATTTTAGATTTGACAGATGAAGAGGAATTTTGTCCCGGGATGGAATTTGAACTTGGAATTGATGTAAGACTTTTGGGGTGATATGATGGGGTGGAAGTATTTTGCATATGAAAAGGGCATGAATTTGGGGTGGAGGGGCTAAAAGGTGGAATGCCATAGATTGAATTGTCTCCCTCCCCTCTCTTCCCCCCAAAATACGTGTCATGATTCCTAGTAGTTTGGCTGTTACATAATAATGTAATCACCCCCATTTCTATCATCTGATGTGAAAAGTCAATAATTATAAGAGAATCAGGGTGATAGGTAATACAGCCCTGATCCAGTGTAAGGGGAGTTTCCCTGGAATATTGCCTGCAACACCTTTTACCTTACAAGAGAGAAAGGAGAGCAAACTGTGCAGAGAATGAGGAACCTGACTACACCAAAAAAGAAGAGCTGAGTGCAAAGCATGTCCATTGGCTCCAAGGTCCCCGCACTTAGAACCTATTAAGCCCAGGGGAAGATTGATGTCAAGACACGAGATTTCCAAGGGACATCAGGTGCACTGATGTTGAAAAGAGAAAAGAACCATTTCAAGAGCCAATAATAGAGAGGCAAAGCCTTGTTCTAGAGCTGGTGCCCTAAATTCAAACTTCGAACCCCCCAAACTGTGAGAGAATAAGTTTGTGTGTATAAAAGCCATCCACTGGTGGTATTTCAGCTAGAGCAACCCTCAGTAGCCAAAATACCAGGAAACTATCATCCTAGTTTTGTTCCTTTTTTGTAAATCCAGGTACTTTTAGAGTCCTGGAGGTCTAGTTTACTGCCCAGATATACCTGTGGCTTTGGTAAATGTGAGGAGTCCTCATAAAGCTACAAATGAATTGCATAATGTACAACCCAAGGGAGTAAGAGGTATTTCAGGACCTCTTTCCGCTGAGCTTCTATCCATTGAAGGCCTGCTCATTCTTATGGCATGACCCTGTGGGTGAAGCAATGGAAAGAGTCTGGTGCCAGAGCTGCCAGCACTTTGTCACCACACTTCCGTTCCCTGCTTCAGCCTAAGATCTGTTTCTCATCAGCCATCACATTCCTCTGTGCAGGGACAATCAAGGATGTTGGCCACAAGCTTTTATTCTTAACTATGACTCATATGTCTATCTCCAGTCCTATGTTGATGCTTGGACCTCAGTCTTTTTTTTAATCATTTTATTGGGGCCTCGTACAATTCTTATCACAATCTATACATCCATCCATTGTGTCAAGCACATATGTACATTTGTTTCCATCATCATTCTCAAAACATTTGCCTTCTACTTGAGCCCTTAATATCGGCTGCTCATTTTCCCACTCCCCACTCCCTCATGAGCTTGGACCTCATTCTTCAGTGATGTGTGAAATCTGTGCCTAAGGTGTGTTCACCTGGGGGATGGTATAGGGAGGGGGGTGGAAACATTTTTTAGAGTAACCTTTTTCTCTTTGGGCTTTTATTTGATAGTTTGAATATATTCAGAATGATGACATATTTAAGACATTTTATCAAAATATAATTTTATTGAAATACACATTGCATTTCACATAAGAAAATTCACCATTTTAAACTGGAGATTTTGGGGGGTTTAAAGGGTCTTAAAAAAGTTCATGGAAAATGCATATTATGAAAAACAGTATGATTTCAAAAAATGTTTTACAATAAAATAAACTCATACTAACCTTTAATAACATGTCTGGACAAGATCTAGTTTGAGCCCCTTTCAATAAGAGTAATGTGAATTCTGCCAAGATTGAAGCAAGAATAAACATCAAGTTTATAGTGAAGCTTGGATGGAAGAATGGGAAGATCACTGATGCCTTGTGAAAAGTTTATGGAGACACTGCTCCCAGAGAAACCAGCAGCTTACAAAGGGATGACTTCTTTTAAGAAGGGGCAGGATGATGTTGACAATGAATCCCTCAGTAGCAGACTATCCACTTCAATTTACATGGAAGCACTCTCATTTGTGGTGAGAATCTGATCCTGTCTGTGCCCTAATTGAAGGGGATCAGTGATTAGTGGCAGAAACAATAGCATCACCGTAGTCATTGCAATTGTTTATGCTTACACAATTCTGACTGAAAAAGTTTACCAAACTTTCTGCTTGAGGGATGTCAAAATGACTGTACCTGAATCAGCTCGACATAAAAGCAGAGCTTTCAATTGATGTTCTCAACAAGTGGAATCAGATCCTGGAACTTTTCTTTGAAGAATTGTAACAGGAGATGAAACATGGCTTTACCACTATGATCTTGAAGACAAAGCACAATCAAAGCAATAGCTACCAAGAAGTGGAAGTGGTCCAATCAAAACAAGTGGTCAAGAGCAAAGGCAAGGCAATGGATGTCTGGGATGCTTGTTAACTTTCTGGAGAGCCTAAGAACTATAATAGGTGCTTATTATCTGAGTGTTTTGAGAACCTTAGTCCAAGCTTTAGAGAAAAATGCCCACAGAAGCTTAACAAAGAGTCTGCTTCACCATTACACTGCTTGTGCTCATTCCTCTCATCAAATAAGGGCAGTTTTGCAAGAATTTCGGTGGGAAGTCATTAGGCATTTACCTTACAATAGATGATTTGGCTCCTTTTGACTCCATTTTGTTTCCTAATCTTTAAAAAAATATTTAAAGGACACTCAGTTTTCTCCAGTTACTAATATAAAAAAGACTACTTTGATATACTTAAATTCCCAGGTCACTCAGTTCTTTAGGGATGGACCAAATGTCTGGTATCATGTCTTAAATTTTATGGATCTTTTGGTGAGAAATAAGGTATACACACACATCACATATATGTTCTTTTAATTCCTTTTTTCTGTGCACTTTTGTTAAGGGTTCATGAGGGAGGGTGGAACCGGGAGGGAGGGGGAGGAGAAAAAGGAAAATGAGCTAATTCCAGGAACCCAAGCGGAAAGCGAATTTTGAGAATGATGAGGGCAACAAATGTATAAGTGTGCTTTACACAATTGATGTATGTATGGATTGTGATAAGAGTTGTATGAGCCCCAATAAGATGATTTTTTTAAAAAACATTAAAAGCAAAGGTATTTCAGAAAAATGCAGAACTTTAAATAAAAGTTTATTAGTACTTCAAAGCAAATAAAAAAAGTTCCCTTGTATTCACAAGTGTGCATTATCACCAAAATCTAATCCCAGAGCATCTCTATGACTCATAAACAGCCCCTGTACCCATTAACAGTCACTCCCAATTCCCTCCTGCCATGGCAACTCCTACTCTACCACCCTAGTTGGGGCTTTTCATATGAATGGAGTCCTGCTATGTGGCCTTCTGTCTAGCTTCTTTACTCAGCATAATGTCTTTTTTTAATGAAAGATCATTTTATTTGGGGCTCTTACAGCTCTTATAACAATTCATACATCAGTTGTATCAAGTATATTTGTACATACATTGCCATCATTTTATTCTTTTTTTTTAAAACCATTTTATTGGGGGCTCGTACAGCTCTTAACACAATACATTCATCCATCCATTGTGTCAAGCACGTTTGTAAACTTGTTGCCATCATCATTTTCAAGACATTTTCTTTCCACTTGAGCCCTTGGTATCAGTTCCTCTTTTTTCCCCTCCCTTCCTGACCATCCCTCCCTCATCCTTGATAATTTATATATTTTTTTCAGCATAATATTTTAAAGGCTTATCTATGTTGTAGCATCTATTAGTTGTATCAGTACTTTATTCTGTTTTATGGCTCTATTGTGTGGTTATACATTTTGTTAATCCAGTTGTAAGTTGATGGACATAACACTCTATTTCTCCTTTTTGGCTTTATGAGTAAAGCTCTGATCATTTATGTGCAAGTTTTTTTTTGAACATATGGTTTAAATTCTTTCGGTGATATACCTAGGAGTGGAATTTCTGGGTGTTATGTAACTGTTTTCAACTGACAGGCGACCATCTAGCTCTGAAGCAACAAAGCCCACATGGAAGAACATAACAGCCTGTGTGATCATGAGGTGTCGAAGGGATCGCTGAAGACAAATGGGTGCATAAGCAAATGTGGTGAAGAAAGCTGATGGTGCCCGGCTATCAAGAGATATTGCGTCTGGGATCTTAAAGGCTTGAAGGTAAACAAGCGGCCATCAAGCTCAGAAGCAACAAAGCCCACATGGAAGAAGCACACCAGCCTATGCGATCACGAGGTGTCAAAGGGATCAGGTATAAGGCATCATCAGAACAAAAAATCTTACCATAGTGAATGATGGGGGCAGTGCGGAGTGGAGACCCAAAGCCCATTAGTAGGCCACTGGAGATCCCCTTGCAGAGGGGTCTCAGGGAGGAGACGAGCCAGTCAGGGTGCGATGTAGCAACGATGAAAAATGCAACTTTCCTCTAGTTCCTAAATGCTTCCTCCTCCCCTACTATCATGATTCCAATTCTACCTTACAAGTCTGGCTAGACCAGAGGAGGTACACTGGTACAGATAGGAACTGGAAATACAGGGAATCCAGGGCGGATGATCCCTTCAGGACCAGTGGTGTGAGTGGCGATACTAGGAGGGTAGAGGGAGAGTGGGTAGCAAAGAGGGAACCGATGACAAGGAACTTTATGTGACCTCCTCCCTGGGGGACAGACAACAGAAAAGTGGGTGAAGGGAGACGTCGACAGGGCAAGATATGACAAAATAATAATTTATAAATTATCAAGGGCTCATGAGGGAGGGGGGACTGGGGAGGGAGGGGAAAAATGAGGACCTAATATGGGAGCTTAAGTGGAGAGGAAATGTTTTGAGAATAATGAGGGCAATGAATGTACAAATGTGCTTTACACAATTGATGTATATGTATGGATTGTGATAAGAGTTGTATGAGCCCCTAATAAAATGATTTAAAAATAAATAAAAATAAAATTTTATATGAAAGAATAATCATATATTTTGAAATCAAAAGCATCACATGTCCAGTTACCAATACTCACAAAGTAAACACACCTGGAAAAACAACATCCAAATCAAGAGAGAATGTAACCGACACCCATGAAGCCCCTGTTATGCCCCCTTCTACTACTCACTACTAGACGAAAATAAAGTCACTATTATTCCCGTCAAGGGTGTTTTTTAATATTATTATATTAAAGTTCACATAATGTAAAATTAAACATATTAAAATAAATAATCCGATGGCATTTAGGACATTAACAATATTATGCAACTACCACCTCTAATTCTAAAACATTTTCATCACCACCCCAAAGTAAAACCCCAAACCCATTAAGTAGTTAGTTCCCATCCTCTCACCCTAATACCTTCACCAAGGAATAAATTTGTTCCTAAATAGTCTTAAGTTTTTGATTACTGATTTCAATATCTTATTACAGATATGTTCAGATTTAAAATTTCTTCTTGAATCACTTTTGGTAATTTGTGTTTCTAGGAATTTTTCCATTTCATCTAGGTTATCTAATATTTTGGTAAATTATTGCTAATAGTAGTCTCCTATAGTGCTTTTTATTTCTAGATGGTTGGTAGTAAGGTGTCATGTCTCTTTTTTCTTTAGTCAATCAATGTAGCTAAAGATTTTTCTCTTGTTGCGGGGATGGGGAGGAGTGACAAAGGATGTTCATTCCAGCTTGATCTAGCCAGATATGTAGAAATAGATATTTAGTGTCAGGGAAGTAGTAGTCAAACTTGGTGTTACCTCGCTCCTTCCGTCCTCCCTTTGCCACAACTTTCCCAGTTGGCCCCTTGCCCAGTGGCTTGCTTCCAGATCTAGGAATGTGGGGGGACAGGAGTCATTTCTTGGCAGCTTCTGCCTGGGCTGCCAAATTTACCTCATTCAGAGCAACCAGGAACTTGGCTTGTTCTTTCTGGAAAACTGCCAGCTCCTTCAAACTGAGCTTGTTTACCACTCAGATACCGGGGAAAAGGAACAGACCCAATGAAGAAATGCCCCTGTAGGGCAAAGCCACCATCTGAGCTTTGACACGGCAGTCTCATACATGTGCTTCAAAGGTCACAGGTCTGCCACCTCTTTCTCTGTGCTGGGCCACTTCCTTAATTCTAGTGGCTGTCTTCAGGAAGTAGGCAATAGTGGGTTATCCAATCTTGATTTCCAATACCTTGTCAAGCTTCACAGCATTCTTGGTAGTCAGAGGAACGCTTTCTTTGATGGGCTCTGTGTTCTTGTACTTCCTGTAGAACTGATGTTGGAAACCTTTGCTGGCCCACAATGGGGTGTATTGGGGCTCAGGC